TCAGACAGGATAATCAACCATGTCTCTGAAATTTCTAAGCAATATTTTAACTCAAGCAAATATTTCTTTAGCTGTTTAGCTTTTATTTTTAATAGCTTGTAAACCGAAGTGATACAAAGACCCGTTAGTAGTTACTTAATGCAATCATTTAAAAGTATTATCACGACAAAGTTTTCCTTTTTTGAGATCAAAGAAAGGAGCTTTTTTCTTGGTTATACTAATGGTATTTGCTTTACCAAATCTACTGCTTCTAAAATTTCGTTTTTAATAATTGCTAACATATACAACATTTACTGTATGCCAACCTAAGCAGTATCATTACTTTTATTATTATTTTTTACAAAGGAGAAAAATAAAGCAGTAAGAGCTTAACTTGCCCAAAGTCAAACAACTAGTCCAGGTAATCTCTTTCCCTAGTCTCGTCATTTTTCTTCACTACATTAAGCACATTAGTTTTATCTCACATTTCTGAATTCCTAAAATGAAGCTAATCTGTTGCTGGCTAAAATTGAAAAAAAAAAAAAAAAGGCAAAATATCCATTACTTTATTTAAGTCTCTTTCCAACCACTTTAGAAGCTTTTTCTTTCTTGGGTAATTAAGAGCAGGTATAATTTATTTGTCAATCATGCCATTATGTCATTTGGAGAATGTAAATCAGGCACTGTAAGAATAGTAAAAACAAAGTTGCCACTCAGACATTTTAAGTAACATATTACTTAAACTATTACTTAAAATATTTACTCTTGCGCAGTATTTAACATATTTATTTGGTATTAGTATTTAGTATTTACACAGACAGGTGAAAGCCATCCTGGGGGATCTACATCCAGCTTGCTCCCCTGTACTAGGTCTTCCTCCCTACAGTTTTTAAGATTGGGGCCTTGAGGTTACTCAGGAGGGAGCTTCCCGCCTCTTCAATGAGACTATTCACAGCCGCACTTGCTTTCCTGTCTATGGGCTTCCTCAGCTTTCACCTAAGCGCACCCTCATCAAAGTGATCTTTCTAACACACAATGCTAAGCATTTCACTTTTATGATAAATAATTCTAAACACTGTGTATTAACTATAATAAGATAAATTGAAAACTCTCCAGACGACGCAGAAAGACCACTGATTCTGTCAACTCCTGTAGGAATGAATCTTAACCTGGTTTGATCCTTTCCTTTTTTTAAGAACATGGTAAAAGATATGGACACTCTCCCCAGGAAAACACAAATATTCAATTGATACCTTTCAGTTTTCTTCTGTTTCTCACAGATTTAAAAGAATAATTCTCTTATATCACTTTCTGACATCATTTTCTTTACTGTTGCTATAGAATAAATGAACTTCAGCCTACATCACTACAAGCTCCTGGAAGGCATAGGATTAAATTAATATCATTTGTTTTTCTGTCTAGAACCCCCAAAGTCTATTATAGCAGTGCTAAAAATTAATTTGTGAAATGTATAAATTATATCCATTATGAACCTTAATAAACAGAATAAGAAGTTTATTTCAATACAATGAAATATCTTGCATTGATTTCTACATTAGGTGGTTTGCTATGGATATAAAAAAAAATTAGACAAATCTAAACTTTTCAGTAAAAATTATCTGGTCCCTCCATTCGGTGTACTGAGATAATGAAGGGAAGAGAAGAATTAGATTAGAAAGGAGAGGATGATGCTGTTTGAGCAGAGGTAATTATGAGGTAAGCAAAACCATTAATGGAAATTTTACATGGCATGAATATTGAATCCTCTCCCCAATTTATACTATACTCTCCGTTCCGTTTGAGAAAATCCCTAAGACTTTGTAGTCAATGCAGTGTTTCTGTAAGTGAATAGTGAATGCCTTCCCTGTATCTTCATTTCAAAGAAATGTACTTTCAGGAAACTTATATTAAGGAATGTTGAGTATGATAACAGAGCCAAGATAGAACAGAAACATGCCTTAAGGTAGCAAGAGAAAGACTGCAAGAAAAACAGATTCAAATCCAAGCCTTGATATTCACTTGCTGGGCAATTCAGTGAGGTTACTTAAATTCTATGAATATTATTTTCCTCACCTTTAAAATAAAAAAGATAATATTTCAAAGATCTGTAAAGATTAATGAAGTTTATCGAAAGCGCCCATCAGTGCCTGGCATCCAATAAGTGCCCAATGATCAGTTACTGTTTTAATAGTGATTAAAAGTTATGAATATCAGTACAAATAATGAGATGGGTAGTATATGAAAAGGGGAAAAGAAATGTGTTAAAAGTGCAATTAATTCATAGAAAGAAAAGATCGGCACAAAGTAAGCTTCAAGGATCAGAAAAGAACTAGATGGCTGTTAAAAGCCAGAAAGATTAGAAGGGCTGCTAGGAAGAAAGAATATTAGAAATATATTTGGTTTGGAATCCTGAGAAGCTTGAGACATTTGGAGTCTCAGGCAGAGTTCTCTGCAATGAGGTCTAAGTTTAGGAGAAAAGTCAAGGAAGACAGACTGTTTGCCTGTAACGTAGTTAGGGCCCTGAATGCCAGGGATGGCCCCTGGAACTCTGGTCAGTCATAGGCCTAACCTACATGTTCAATTTTCTCAAATATAAGGAAAATAATGGCTCCTTTTTTAGGTATATAAACAATCAACAAAACTTTAAAGAGTAACGTCTAGTAGAAGAATTCAGTTCCACTTAAAGCTATTTATTGATGGCAATTTTTCCCTTTCTAATTATACTATAAAAACTAAAGAATATACTATCACAATATATTTTTGAAA